CTACTCTAAGCTTCAAAATTTCATCAATACTTTCAGTAGGACGTTATCCCTCTTTTTTCTGTTCTATAGTTTTGGTGGAAAACTGGAAATGCCATGGAAATTTCCTGTCTGTTAAATTGAAGGAAAATGATTACTTCAACTCTTCTAAATTAACAGTTTAATTAATTTTGTAATATTAATATGAAATAATTTTATCAGGGGATTCAATATTTTCACAGAAAAATTTATGAAGTAATTACAAAGATTTAACAAATAATATATATAAACATCAATTTGTTTAATCGAAATTTCACAATAAAAGGGTATCATTATTCTGTCACTGGTTATCATATTGGGTGTGTTAGACAGGAAGGAACAATTTTCTCAAATATTTTCTTTAAAAAAACCAGTTCCGTAGTTATTATTTATAAAAAAAAAATAAAAAATTCTAACAAGAATATAAATAGCAAATTGCACTATAACAAATAACAAAAATACCAAATACTAACAAATTGCACAAAAATACTTCAAAGCTGTCGTACCCACCATCCAATACCCCTACATCTACATCTCTATCCTCACTTTTCCTCTTTATTTAAAATATATATTAATATAAATAAATTGAATTCTTTCTTTATATTGCTGATACCAAACCACGAACGGATAACTTGGTCGAAGCGATTTCGACCTTGTCAAAGATTCTTTTCCTCTTATCTCACCAAAGGTCAAGGTTCGTTTAAGGACTATTAAAAGTCGTTACGCTAAATGAAATTATTCAATACTTGGAATATCTTTTTGGTGTTCAAGTGCTAAAGACATCTAAATTCCAAGCTTTAGAATAACATGAATAATAAAGCATTTATCAAAACTTGAGAATCTAAGTGTCACTTTTCTTTTTTCCTATCATTCATGATAAGTTATTCAAAATTCGATTAAATATTCGCTAATTCTCATCTTGTATTTTTATTATAAGTTATACTAACTAATAATTTTTTTCTCCTTGTATACATATGAGTATGTATAGACACGATGAACCTCTACAAATAATAATTATCCTTCAAATGAACTCGTAAAAAATTGGACTACATGGCAAAAAATAAGTAGATTTTTCCTGCTGGTGAAATAGACGTGAGGCCTACAAAATTAGAGTTGGTGTTCCGTTTACTTTACGCCAGTGGATTTGAAACACAATTTGTTGGTGAGAAATTTACTTTTGAACGTCAAAATATTTCAAAGTTTATAAATGAATTGGTGGGGTCTAATTTTTCTTATTAACTTTTACTGGGTCAGTCAGTCCCATAGGAAGATCCAGAAGAAAAAAAATAAAAGAGAAGGTTAAAAGAGACGGTTCATAGGAAGAAATAAACAAAGAGGACAGTGAAATGTACAAGAAAAACCAATGAAATTCAAGGAAAGCGCAAAGAACACGTCATGAGCACAAAAAAAACATATAAACTTAAATAACCATTTACAAATTGCTTAAAAGATAATCATTTCGTTTAGATAATGCATCGCGACTTGTGAGAAATTATTATATAAAGCGTGACATATAAAACTAATAATACGACTACATGTTTTGTTATTTGATATTAATATTTAGAGTTTAACTTAATTTAAATTACACATGAGAATTCAAATTTAAAATCTCTAATTAATTAAAAATGAAGAAAGACTTATTAGGATAACCCTTGTTAGTAACTCGACAATGAGAGTTGTTTTCATAGGTACATTTCTTTATTAGAATATCAAAAGAAAGGTGTAAATAACATTTCGAAGCTGCGTATAATTTTGGTCAAAAATAATAATTACAATTTATAAAAAAAATTAGATAAGCTATACGAAAAGTACTATAAATTGTAATTTTTTGCATATCAATATGATGAAAAAATATATAATGAAATGTTACTCAAAGTTCTTATAATTTGACTCTAAAAAAAAAGACCATGACAATTAAAAATGATGAATTAATACCTTTTTTATTAGTCTTTATACGCTTTATTTGAGCGGAATTTCACTGTAAACAACTTTTTTATTTTCACAAAAGTAAGTACTAAAAAATTAGAATTAGAATTTACTATTAATTGGATTGACAAATTTTAGCTGTTATTAGCTCATATAAATTTAAACTATTCCAGCTCAAATAACTTTCGAATGAATTAATAATGTGATTATTTATCCACCCACAAAAGGATAAAGCCAAAAGTCTAGCTATGTATTCGGGCCAAATTAAATACATTTTTGTATTTATATTAAAAAATTACAAATGTATAAATATTTTAAATATAGAATTATATTTTAACACTTGAAGTAACTATTTTAAAATTTAAAACTTATAGAATTAAAATTTTAGCTACACCATGTTTGTCCACCCAATTTTAGCCCAATCACCTATTTGACATCCATAAATTAGATTAGATTGGGTAGTGGGTACACATAGTATTCACTGATTCAAAAAGAACAATTTAGTTTGATTTGGTACACAATTTAAAAAATAAAAAAGTCTAATTTAAAATAATTTTTTATCAAATATATCAAAATATATTTTTAATTTTATGGTCTTAAATATATAATATGAAAAGTTAAAATTAAAATATTATTAAAAAGAAAAGAGGTTATTTTAATCTTCTAAATATGTAATTATTGTCCATCAACAAATATTTTAAAATTTTTATAGCTAAGTTGCAGTTACAAAAATGTTAACCACAAACACACATCTATTATGAGAAGGTGTGGGAGCCAGCTGCAGCTTGCAGAAAGAGGACGGACAAGTAGGGAGAAAGAGACATATTTTCCCTCCGAAAAGGGTGGGCCCGGAGACGGACTTGAAATGCGGAACTGAAATTAAAATTAAAACGAATGGACACCAAAAATGGATGAGACAGGAAAAAAGAGAATTCAAATCCAACTAAATAAAGGAAAAGGAAAAAAGAAAAAGGCAAAATATCCGTGAAAACGTGATGGTAGGAGGATTAGATGGATAAAAATGACTTACATTATGATATCTGCCAAACACGCGCCTGTCAACATCTTCCCATCCCACCTCCCTTCCTACTTTACCACCTTTAATTGTTACGTAATTAAAAATAAACAAAAAATGTATTCACCTCTCTTTCTCTCTCATAATACTCTCTCCATCCATTAAAAACACGCGCCTGTCAACATCTTCCCATCCCACCTCCCTTCCTACTTTACCACCTTTAATTGTTACGTAATTAAAAATAAACAAAAAATGTATTCACCTCTCTTTCTCTCTCATAATACTCTCTCCATCCATTAAAAAAATTGGATAGAGAGTGCTGCTCATCGTATACGACTTAATACTATGGGAATTTAGAATAGATATAAATTTTAATGGAGAGGTTAAATAAAAAAAAAACTTTATAAAGGTACTAACAATTAAAGTACTTTTTTTTTGTTTTTCATCGATATTCGGTATTTATATTATAGTAAAATTAACTTGAATTTTCATCAAATAGGAAGTAGGAACTCATGAAAAATAACATTTATATTAAAAAACTTCATATGATAACTCAAATTAATTAAAAAAAAAAACCTATTCACTACCCTAGGTGGCTATTACGGTTAGTACTAGCAATTAATCAGAATTACTAGTACTAGCAATTAATAAGATATTTATATTATAGTCAAATTAACTTGAATTTTCATCAAATAGGAAGTAGGAACTCATGAAAAATAACATTTATATTTAAAAACTTCATATGATAACTCAAATTAATTTTTAAAAAAACCTATTCACTACCCTAGGTGGCTATTACGGTTAGTACTAGCAATTAATCAGAATTACTAGTACTAGCAATTAATAAGAAATTTATACGTTCAAACTTTCTGATATGAATGGCTGTTTGGTCAAATTTTGGTTGGCTATAAATGCTTAATTTAAAAAGTAAGGTATTTAACTAAATTTTAAAGAAAAGATAAGTAATTTCAAGAGTAATACTGTAAAAAATTATTTTAGAAGGTAAAAACTAAAAATTAATTGGTCAACCACTAATTACTATTTTAAAAAACATTTTTTAAATCAATTAGTCAAAACACATAATTTTTTTTATCCATAAACTTTTTTTATAAATATTTTAAAATAAATATTTTTTAAAATATATATTTTAATAGCGTGATATAGAAGCCTCTTTTCTTTTTTTTTGGGTGTATTATAAGTTTTTTTACCCTCGCTATATAATTTTTCTGAAAAAATATAATTATAGGAACCACATATATATTATAAGTATTAAATAACATTTTATTCATTCTAGTTTTTTATTTATCAAAAATCCCTTAAAAATGATGTTTGTGGGATACATAACGTTGTGCACGGAATACATTAGGTTTGATACATTTCACATAGCGGGATACATAATGTTGTGCACGAGATACATTATATTTGATATATTCCACATAGCGGGATACATAACGTTGTGCATGAGATACATGCGAGATACATATCGTTGTGCACGGGATACATAACATTTGATACATTCTACAAAGCGGGATACATAGCGTTGTGCACGAAATACATAGGTAAGTAAAAGAGTGTAGTTAAGTAATTTGTCCAAAAAATAATCCTCTGTTTAAAAAATGAAAAAGAGAACAAATATTTTTTTTATAATACTTTAATTTCAATTTTCTATATTGCATATTCAAAGCTAGAAGATTAAAACATAATTTAATATAACTTTAATATAAAATTATAATATTAAAAAAATTCTTTATTTTTCATAAATTTCATACCAAATAAAATTAGATAATCACTTTTTAAATGGGGGAGTATACACTTTTTTTTCTGGCCAAACGGTACTTAGATTAGATTATAATTTCCACCTCCACTTCCCTACGCCTTTGCATCTTAACCTGAAAACAGCATCTTTTGTCCCCTTTTCCCCTTCTCTCTCTCTCTCATGCACACAAAACCAAATCTTATCGCTGTCACCCTTTGGCCCCCCTCCTATTCTCTCCCACTATATAAACAATCTTCCCCTCCATTATCTACTACATTGCTTCTCGAATTCTCCTCCTCTCTCTTTTACCCAAAATTCAAACAAGGACTTGCAACTATCAAAAGCAAAACAACTCAATTTTGTTTCTCTCTCTCTAGGCATTACAAAAATTGTAGACTAGACCTACTGTACTTTCCCCCACAAGCCCCCACCATCTCATTTTCTAATCATCCTGTTGTCCTATTCTAAATTTTATAATCAACTTTTCCTTTGAGAAATTTCACATCATGAAAAAAGAGTTGAAAACTGAGAATAATAACAGTAACGGTAACAAGCGGTCCCGAGTTGAGTCAGGATTGGACTCAGCTGGTGACTCGCGTGAGTCCAAGCGAGTTAACGCAGAGGTTGAGACTGGTCCTGACTCGTCCGAGTTTAGCCGAATCGACTCGGAGTCGGGAGTGAGTCCCAACCGTTCAAACTCGCCGGAATCGAATGACGTGCAAACAGATGTGTACCTGGATTCACCGGAGGCTAAGCAGATAAGAGAAGATATATTGGATATCTTAGATGAGCCTGACGCTCTAACGGAATGCCCGCCGGAGATTCAGGATCTGGACTCTGTCATGAAGAGTTTCGAGGAAGAGATCCTTCACCACTCACCTCTGAACGACACACAAACCGTCCTTGACCTGACTCCATCAGAATCCGGCGACTCACAACCGGACCTCGGATACCTCCTCGAGGCGTCGGACGATGAGCTCGGTCTCCCTCCCACAACATCTCCGACCGACGAAGAGGTTAACGTCGAATCTACCGTCATGCCGGAGGCCGCTGAATTTGCGAATATGACTTGTTTTGAGGACGAAATGCCTAATTACGACACGTTCGACTTCGGCATGGACCACGAGGCTAGGGTAGGAGATAGTGACATCGGTAACAGCGACGGCGACTTTGTGACAGTTGGAGGATTGTTTGATTATCCTGAGCCGTCGGATTTTTCCGATTTCTCATGGCGGCAGGAATCCTTACCCGCTCTATAAACTGATGAAATTTCTACGTAGGTTTTGTGAATGGTAGCGTAGTTTGTACATCTGAAAACCAGAAAGCACAAGATATAAATAGGAAGCTCATACTGTAGAATCAAATGTTTTCAGAGGCTAGAAATTGGAGTTTTAAAGGGAATTTGCTCATTTGAACTCAAATCTGAATTCTAGAGAATCGATGTTAAATTGCAATAAACAACTGAATTGATTTCCCGCCATTAATTATTAAAGCTAATAAACTAAGAACAAACATATATCATTTCTGTTTATCTGACCAGCGCTATTTGTCAAATATATACACGACTACCCGGAGCTCGGAGGCCAGTTCCTATTTTGTAATATTAATCATTTTATATTCTATTTTAATATGGGGAAACAAAATTTAAAATTGATTTTTTCCTTTTGAGTTGGATTAATTCCTTGGTATAAATTAAGTGATATTTTTTCTTCTTTAATCTCTTTTAAAAAGAATTACGGTTATATAATTTATGTGATACACAATCAAGTCTCAGCAAGGGGCAAAATTTGAAGTATTTTGGTGTTATAATTTCAAGGTAATAAGAATAAAAATGATATGATACATCGTATTTGAACGAGATTAGATAACAAGGGAGGTTCGGATTTAGTGTTATGTGGTATGTAAAGTAGTAGTTGAGATCAATTATGTTGAATTATTGGAAGTGTTTCGTTAGTCAAAGAATTTTTATATCAAAATAAAAATTGAAGAAATGAATATGTTTAATGGATGTGTAGACATCAAAATGGATGTGTGTGTAAATCAAAGAGATAAAATTAATAAATGAAGTTATACAGGGTATAAGATGTATAAAGATAAACCTAGAGACTTTTGTGGTGGTCAAGAATGTGGAAAATGAAGCTAAGATAGTGTGATGTGTGAGAGGTAGGCGATCGATCTGATAAAAGATACTACTAAATAAAAGTTGGCAGGAGAGAGATGGGGTACACATCGAATATCATATTAAAAATACAAAAAAATTGATATTGCAATTTTTCAATATATATTTCACATATTATTATTATAGGAGTAGTAACTAGTCATAGTATAAAATTAACTTTGAAATTTTTTATTACTCTTATATTTTGTTTAAAATGACTTTTTTTGCGCAATTGATTAGTGATAGAAATTGTTTGTAATTTTTATTAAATATTTTTATATGGTAAGTGTTATTAGTATATATAATTGAGATTTTATCAAAAAGTAGAAATCGTAATTCTTATGAATGTATGTAAGTTGAAATCGAATCATCTATAATTATCAATTTATTATATAGTAAAAAACTTAAATCAATACTTTAAAATATTGTACCATATCAAATTAATTTATAATCCTCATTGCATGTGTTGCTTTTGGATTCTTTGTGTTGTATGTACTTGTGGCCTTGTCTTTGCGGTGAGTTCTTTTGACCCTGTTATGTCTTAAAATTCAACTTCACATCAATAATTTTTTGGTTGAAGCAGAGCATGCATCTTGCATTTTTCTAGGAATTGAATAAACAATCCTAATACCATTTCAATTTTGGGTAATTGTATAGTGTTATCTTGAATCGTGTGTGACATTTTGGACCCCTTAAGATCTTCCTTATACTAGTCTATGAGAAAGACAAAGATTTGAGGACTTAAGACTGACATCGAATTGAGTACAGGCGCCTTTTGGGCTTCTTTCCGCAACCCCTATAACCTCATTGTGTATAGCCCGAGTATACACCTGAGTACAGGCGCTTTTGAGCTTCTTCTTTTTTTGGAATCCCAAGATAACGTCCAACCGCTGCTACAACCTCATTTTGTATAGCCAGAGTATACACTTGAGTACACGCGCCTTTGGGCTTCTTTTTTTTTTTGGAATCCCAGGATAATCCACAACCAATACAACCTGACTGACTGTGTATAGCCTGAGTATACACCTGAGTACATGTGCCTTTGGGATTATTTTTTTTTGGAATTCCTAGATAACCTGCAACTGCTACAATCTCACTGTGTATAACCTGCAAATCACACGGGGAATGTAAACTGCACTAGGCCTGCACTAGGCAATAGGCTTAACTCAGAAGGCATTGAGGGGGATCGATCCCGGTCATCCGTGTGGATAACCACCCTCCAAACAAACTGAGTCATCCCGAAGGACACTTTTGGGCTTGTTAATAACGTAGTATGAAGGGAAATTTGTGAGGCCTGATGGATGATAGCGGACAATATGATTTACTGTCTTGGTTTGAAACATAAAATAAGTTCCATTTTCATGTTTAGGTGAACCACTTTCATTGAGGCACTTCAGAGAATTGCAGAAATAGTGAATATTTGGCTTCACTAATTTAAACCTATGAGGCGACTTTCTTGTTCTGTGATGTGATAAAACACGAATAGAACTTGGAACTTTTGTAGGTTACTTCAAAGGGAATATTGCACCAATACTTCTAGTATAATTGTCCTTAAATGTCACAGGGAATAGTCATTAGTACAGATTTAAAGATAAGCTACTGCTAAATTGGCATATATATATGCTATTACATTGGCATATGATTCTTGAAAAAAGGGTCAGGGGAATAACTAGTTTTAAAATGTGTGGACAAACTAATCTGTGATAGAACAATAACTTGTACTGAAGCATATTCTACTTGCTACATATCATGTCTGAGCTAAAGTTCAAGTCTAAATAATGACTAGACAAACAATATGGAAACAACGGCTAGAACCAGAATAATGCACCCCAAGAAGTTAGCACTGTGATGATCATCAAGCTCTCCTTCGTGTTGAAGTTTACAGCAGAGCTGTTGTTAAAGCCAAATCCCAAAGTGCTGGACGTTTTAGGTGGTACTGTCACCATCGGCGAAGCTGAATTGCAAGTTAAAAAAGGCAAAAACTTTGAACAAACGCGTAGAAACATTGTGTTGTTACGTAATTGAACTATTGATACAGTATAAAAAGTTCATACCAGCAAGAGTTGAATTGCTATTTGTCCCAAATGAAACTTGAGGCGTTGATGACCTAGGAGCCAGTCCTTCAGAACCTAAAAATACAGAAATTGGATGAAGGAATAACACATTATTGAACTTTAAAGAAGGGGTTTTTTTCAAGAAAATTACACTATATGTCTACTGGGGGAAATATTTACGTCACGTAGCTCACATTTTGATACACTTTATACAAGTTTGATACATTATGTGTAATGTTTTCTCCCAATTATAATGTTGTATAATATTATATATTGAGTTATGTGGCGTAATATTTTATGTTGATCTTTACTGTTACATACCTGAACAGGTATCATTGTCAACATGCATACTGCAAAGAAGTGGCAATTGAAGTGCTAATGTGGTGTTGATAGGAAGAGTGCTGATGCCAGTTTGATTGAGCAACAGGCAAAGGCAATCTGGTTGCTGGATATAGAGTTGCCTGAGGTTACTGCAACACCGCTCAGTCGGTGATGGCGATGCGCCCTGCACAAACGGTCCACAGGGAGCCAATCGAAGCAGTAGTGGCCCACACGACGACACGGTGGGCCCTGCAGGTAAGTTACCAAAGGTCTGTGAAAGGGTTGTAGGTACAAAAACAAATAGAAGTGAAAAAATAAGAACAGTAGTAGAATCCATGCTGTGAACACTTTAGTATACTAAAGAAATTAGAATAAGTAGCTGAAATTGGTTTTCTATTACTGTATGGACTCTTAAATGGAGTAAATAATCAAATTTAGTGTGAAGTGCAGCATACATTGAGTGTGGAAATAACAAATTAATTACCATACATTCACACAAATCTTATTTTTCATATCTGCCTAGTCAGAGAACCAAATGTTATGATAAAGATGCTCCATGCTTTTATCATTCAGCAAAATGTGTAATTATTTTACTTATTACTACTATCATCTTGAGGGAAAAAAAAGGCTTCAAGTTGAAGGACAATCACAATGAATGGTACAGTAAAAGGGCTGATGATGGCATCTATCACACTACCTTCACATAATTAGCATTTGGGGTTAATCATAATTGAAAAAAAAAGTGGATGATACAGAGTATATAGCACCTCAAGATAATAGAACAATAATTAATTATGACAAATTGACAATAATGATAATCAAATCTCATCCTAATTAAGTAGTACTTTATAAAATTAGTATCTCTTTGTACTATAAATATTGGAATTGATGTAGCAGCCAGTTAATTTCCGCCAATTATAGTGGTGACTGAATTAGAACCTACCCTTGTTCAATGGGAGTCAATTGACACTTCTTCGTCAAAAAAGTCTATATCCGAATCAAAATCTGAGGTGGATAGCATCAAGAACTAAGATAATGTAAAAATATCAAGAATAGATTCACTCACTTTTTAAGCTAACTTGTTTAAAAGCTAAGGAAATGAATACATAGATTCTTGGAAAGAAAGGTAAAAGTGTGGGGAAGGGAAGAGTTTCAACTTTAGAATAAGAATATTTAGACACCGAAAAGGAGATGCCTTTAATTAATTGAAAACATATGTAGACCCTTTTTTTTAGAACAAAGAAAGTGATGCTTTTTTTTTTAGGCCACAAGGCATGTTTGTATAAGAATAATAGGAGAAGTCAAGAATAATGAATGAACAAATTAACTACCTAAAAATGTGCAAATGCTTGTTAGGCAGGAATCAGATTCCCAATCAGTCAATAAGACATCAAAAAAAAGATAAATGAACAATCCATTATCTTTTCCAATTCATAGAAATCCATCATTTCCTTCCTAGCATTTTTTTTTTATCTCAAAGAGAAAATCTTCCTTTCTTCATGACTCAGAAGGTAAAATATTGGGGTCCTTGATTGAAACGAATCTATAATTTAGACATGATAGGTTCTCATGTGTTGAACTCATTGTACGTACCTTTGAAAATATGAGATCAATATTTATCATTTGTTGAAAATTTAGTGCTGTCTTCTTTTACATATATGTCCGTGTTGAAAGTATTAGATTCAGTTGAATTTGTTACACAAAGATTGCATCCGCCTCTGGTTCTTGATTTATTTTTCTTTTTCTCTCCTCATTCTTTGTAGTTGTGTTGCATGGTGATGAGGATTAACATAGACTGCAAAGGATGTTACATGAAAGTAAGTCGGGCACTTCTCACAATACCAGGTAATTAATCGATGATTTTTAGATTTTATAGTTTGTTTGATCAAGCACAAATTGTTGCTCTAATATTGATAAACATGTTTTTTTGTTAAATTACTTCTAACAAAAAGTACATTTCAAACTAAACGTACTTATGTAAGATTGGTCAACGTGCTATTAGTTTGATTACGTTAATAAGAAAGACTCTGAATTTTTCTTGAAATGTTTTGAATGAAGAGCTGGAGACAAGATTCATAGAGAAAAATCACAGCAGAGTAATTGTATGTGGGAATTTCATACCACAAGATGTGGCAATAAAAATAAGAAAGAAGACAAATAGGAGAGTTGAAATATTGGAGATACAAGATTTAAGTGGCAATGATGAACCAAAGCAAGAGGAAATGCCCTTAATAACTTCTTGTGACAACCAAGTTGAGACAGAAACATATGTAACATCACAAAATCCACAACCACACATGTACTTTCAAGTTTACCGCTAATCAAAAACATAATTGTATCTTTGTAATAATAACTTTTTCATCTTCTTAGAATTAATTTCTAGTGCCCAGTGGGTTTAGATCATTCCATGTTGTATAATTATATTGATTTATTGTGGATGGAAACTTTGACAGTGTAATTGTTTTTTTTTTGGATATTATAGTGCATTTTAACTTGTTATTTTCTGTAGTACCAAATTAGATCATCATTATAGAAAGTTATACTTGTTAATGTAGGCCATCTTAATCTATGGTTAAAAAAATTATATATGTCTAGAAGTTAAACTCATTTATTGAAGGTGCAATTCGATTTCAACTTAATTAAATTATCAAGTTGCCTAGTTATTAATGAAGTGAGTTGAGAATCATGAGGTTTCAAGTTTAATTTCCAGCATAAATAAGAAACTTGATGATTTCTTCTCATATTTTCTAGCTTTGATGGACAAAGTTATAATCTGGTATTTGTTGATGGTGAAAGATGACAGATATTCCATGAAATAGTAAAGGTGCACGCAAACTGGCATAGCCACTGTGATTATAAAAAAAAAAATGGACTTGATTAGTTTTTTTTTTTGGCATTGGATTAAAAAATTATCTGTATGTTTTTTTTTCTTCCAATTACTCGAAGAGAAAAACAAATTCAACTAAATTTCAATGCGTTTGTTAAAGTCGGTGTGCTTATTAAGGTGTTCAATTGGAATATATAATAATTGAATAACAAATTTAATAAGCTGATTATATATTAAGCCTCAATCACACGTAGAAATGTTCTCAAATTTTTTGGCATTTTGCACACCCGCTAATAAGTTTCTTTGGGGTTGAAAGTGATATATCTATAAGTTCAATAAATGTATTAAAACGTTATTTTCATGCAGTAACACGAAGCAAGTAAGCTTTAATTTGGACCTACCATCTACTTTAATTTTTAAAAATCATATAAGGAGCTTACCTAACGTTCTGTTATACAAGTATCAACTATAATAAAACATGGTAGGAAATGTGTTAAATGACAGCAACAAATTAAAGAGCATTATATAAAAAAGTTATATATTTGATCGCTCGATCAAAAATATATAAGTTTAGAAAAACAGTTATATATTTTCTTAGACTGACTTTCAACCTAATCCAAAGGCAAAGCCTGAAAGATTGTACTAAAGTATAGTGTGAAAAGTGCGGCTTCCAAAAAATAGGATAGGTGTTAATTTATACAAAATTTCAAGATAATCATGGTCATTAAAGATAAAACAAGAATGATTAAGTGGTGATCATCAGATTGATGCTTTGTGATCAATTATTCAAGATCCAATTCCATAATGCTATAGAACTAATATACAAAGTAAATTTCAGTATCCCCCACCTCCACCCCACCCATCCACAACCCCCAACCCACTATATACTTTCAAGGATCTTATAAGTTTGTTATATATTACTATCATTCGGTGGCGAATTTATGTGTTAGAAAACAAGGTCATGAAATTCGTGGTCACTTGTTAAAATTTGATACACTATCTGTATAGTATTTGTAAGATATTTAGTATTATCTGAACTCTGAAAATACTCATGTATGGTTAAAAGAAATTAAATAGTGCATTGGTTGAGAGATGGTCTTTAACTCCTTCAAGTCGAGAATCGAAGTTTTTTGTTTCTTTTTTAGGCATTTTTTCTTCTCAAATAGCCTTTCTTATATATTTTAAATATATATATAAAGCAGAACACACAGAATAATAGTTAAAACACGTAAATTGATGATTTTTTTTGTAATTATATATGTACTTTAATTAATTATCTTTTACTCACCAAAATATCATTATACTAAAATTTTATATTTTATCTTAAAAGATAATAATATATTCGTTATCTTGAAATTATGAATTCGCCGCCATCAATTATCATTCATAATTAGTACTCATATGTCAAGTTGATAACTTTCTAGAAAGACGTGCCTACGATAGAGGATTGCCCAACAATCATTTATAAGGTGTGATTATTCATTATTGTTAGCACTGATAATTTACATGATGTATGCCTAAGATGTAGAGGCGAATTCAGGATTTTCAATAAGAGCGTTTAAAATCTGTAGAAACAGATTTCAATAAGAGGATTTAAAATTTATAGAAACAGACACATGAAGTAATCAAAGGGGACTCGATATCTACTATATATACATATAAAATTATTTTAACCATATAAAAATAATATAATTTTTCGTCGAAGGGGTTCACCCTTCCTACAAGGTGGTTCCGCCCCTGCTAAGATGTTTGTTGTATATATGACTATATGACCCTTTGTTTGCTGAAAAGGTAAAACAATATAATTTAGACACACAAAATAAGTGTGTGCCTCAGTTAAATTGACAGCTCGTTTCTGATTAGTGCAAACAAATTTAACTGGAGTTATTTTATGGTTCTACATTATATAATCCTAACTAATATTACAGTCATCATATGAAGGGAGCAATATATATATGGCTAGTGGATAGTGAAAAATGAATACATGTAATACTTGAGAAAATAGTGATAAATGTTTTGAAACATCTAAAATATTATAAATTGAAAAGCGAGTAATAAATCAATTTCTACTACTATTGTTATAAGATACAAGAAAAATGTTATTTGAACTAGTGATCTCGATCCACATATTTGAAAAATTGCCTCCAACATCTTCCTTGAAAACAATTGCATACATATATAGTTAGTCACACATACATGTACCGATAAAATCATAAAATGAAATATTGTATGCACACAAGTACATGTATTCAACTATCTTTTCAAATCAAAATACTATCACGTCTTAATATATATCAAAATTCGGTAAAAAAAAATTAAAATGCAATAGTAACGGTATTAACTAAATTTTCTCCGAGAAAAAGGAAAGGTATTCGCTTTAATCCTATATCAGTTGTCCCTTTTTCTTTTCACACCTTTTTAAAAATTGTAAATAAAAAAGATTATTTTACTAATTTACTTCTAAAATATTTTTGTTTGCAACAAATTTAAATTTTAAAATAACAAAAAAT